AGAGAGAGAGAGAGAGAGGGGGGGGGGACAAAATTGATTTCAAGCATCTATGACTCTCGGCCTTCGTTTTGGGATGATTAAACCATGTTCTTATCGTTGCAGCTTGCGACAGACTGTTTAAGTTTATTTCCCTTTCAGTATTGTACATATCTGAAACATGGAAACTAACAAAACAACAAAACAGATAGTAAACAAATTACAGTTTTTCATTCATGGTTGCCTGAGAAAATCATTTTGTTTGTTTGTTTGTTTGCTTGTTTGTGTGTTTGTTTGTTTGAATAAGGAAAAGCATATGGACACAATTGTTGTCATTTAGTGCTAGGACAAAGCGAGACAGACAGAAACAACAGAGAGAAAGTAAACAAAAAGGACCTACCAGTGGCATACGCTAACCATCCGCGGGGAAGATCATGAAAATTCACTGGAAGGACACCATCAGAAATAATTCAGAATTATGAAGGCGAACCAAGAATAACCAAATAATCTTTAGATTTTTTTTCAACAATGGGTTGAGCACATGTTTAGGATACCAGTCAAAAACTTGACTAGATGAAGCTCAAGATGGAACCTCCAGGGTAGAAGAAAGAGAAGAAAACCGAGATCCACCTGGGAGCGAGATCTGGAGGACTTATAAAAATACCTCAGACCTTTGGGACTCAACTGGCTGGAGGTATAACAGACCACCCAGAATAAAGACAGGTGGGGAGCCTCTCTTGGCAGCCTTTACCCAATACTAGATTGAAAGAAGCAAATGATGATGATCTCCGATTTTAACGTCCATTTCAGATAGGACTGGGCCAAATGGGTGGAGAGGCTTTGAAAGCTCCCCTAAACAACCCAGTTTCAGACCACACCACAGCCCAGTACAATGCCTCTCTGAGCCAACAGAGTGTCCGTATTTCTCTGGATGAGGATATTAATATACTTGGGAGCACCCCAAACGACAAATCTATTGCTTGACCTTCCTTTGATTTCAAATTTTCAGAAATCCTACGAACGACTGAGTCTTAAGAAATTGAAATGTCCTTGAGGTTATTGCTATTGCACCCGACACTTTCTGAAATACAGGTGAAGTGAAATGTAAAGTTAAAAGAACGTTGTTTTAGTTTTGTCTAAGATCTGAAATAGAAACAAGGATGAACACGCTTAAGATTATTCAGATGCTAGAGACCTTGCTTTCTATATCAAGGTAAAGAACTGGTCCTCAGCCAAGCAATATCAAGTTTTTCGAGAATCGATAACAGAAAGTCCATTGTTAGAAAGAAGAAGCAGTTTTGTCGCTAGAAATAGAAGGGCCGCGGGGATATAAGTTCGACATGAGAGAGTGTACTCTCATACTTTTAAAGAATCCTCTCTCTGGTTAACTGCGGTAATAAAAAATTCTCTCTCGACCCGACGGAGCTTAGAACTAACTCCCATTCTCTGGGAAGCGGTAGGATCGAAGATAGACACAGAACTGACAAAGAGTGATATAGCTTGCAAAGTATCCTCCTCCTCCTCATCATCATCATCATCATCATTATCATCACCATCATCACCATTATTGTTTGGTAAGTAGAGTAGGAGGGAGAGTCTTGTATGAATTTCAGACAAAATAAAATAACAATATAAAATGTTTAAAATGTGTTTAATAGCATTATCATCATCAGTGTCGGCTCTAAACAAACACGATCCACCTTTCCTTATTCTGGGCTATCCTCTTCATATTATTCATACATGGGGGCTGACATACGACGTAGTCAGATGAGACTTTCTCGACGGAGAAGATTTCGGATCAGTAGAATCCACCCAGTCTTGTCCACTGTCCTTCATTTGTCCCTGTTGGTACAGTAGCTCCTCTGTCTCCTGGGATAAAGAATAGACGTGTTTGCTTGACATGTGTTTCTATAACTGTTGTTTTTATTTTATTACAGGCCCTCCACCAACTGTCTCTTTTCAGGAGACTAGACCTTAGTCGCTACTAGTGACACGCAGCGTCATGGCAGGTCTTAATTTTGCGCTCCCCCATTGTTAGACAATAAGCGCTTTTGACACCCACGTTTTTTGCACGCTTTTGAAATCCCAAGTTTTTGCGCACTTTAGAAACACAATTTTGTACACAGCTTTTACACCAAAGTTTTTGCATACTCTTGAAACTTAAGTTTGTGAACAGTTTTTAAACCCAAGTTTTTGTGCACTTTTGAAAGTGCCCATACATCGAAAGCTCAGTGACATTATGTCTCATGTGTGTGTCTCCTCCATAGACTTGAATCATAATAGTATCTTAGATGGAGCACTGTTATGGCCACCGCTCTTTGCTCTTTGCTCTTTATAAAAACTTCGCCACGCTGGTATGTCACCATGGACCCACAAATGAAGGGCAAAGCACCGGTTTCAATAATAATTATTATTACAATAATCGAGTGCTCGTGCAACCTCTCCCTCCTTTTCCTTCATTTAGTTCAAAATAGTTTCAAATGATACGCTCCATTGTGAACAGGAATTACGTCATAGTGCAGTCTTTTATTTAAATAATAACACAAGTCTATGGTCTTCTCTAAAGTCCGTCCAAATTAGATTTTTTTAAAGCATTTGTGAGGCATCGTGGCGGAATCAGGCTCTCGTCAAAATAAACAAAGTGAAGAAACTTGCATTTTTCCGCAGGTTTGTGAGTTTTTTATTTATTTTTTTGACTCAACACCTTTCATGCCCATTAAAGAACTAATTTCTGTGTAGATTTTTCTGAAAAACGTTGATTAAAGGAACAAAAATATAAATTTTCTATTACCACGGACTTTTAAGCTAAGGAAATAACTCATCTTTGACGGACATTTTCTCACTAATTTTACCTCTGAAAACAGGTAACCACACGTCCTTCATTCGCAAATGTCTCGACTTGCATTCAAGATAAATGGATAGTTTTTACAACCAAATAAAGACAAGTGAACAAGCTTTAAGGTGATACCAATAACTCTACATGCCCAAAAATTGACGAGAGCCTGATTCCACCGCGCTGCCTCACATTTCTGCCGTCAGCTGACAAAACGCCTTTTTTTTCATTTTGGCGCGAAAATTTTTTATTTGATAAATCGATAGTCTGACCTGTTACCCAAC